ATTGTACAGTGGCATTAAGTGCCGTAATGTGCACCTCTGCCTACCCCTTCGGGGATAAAAAGGCGTGATGTTATGTTATGTTTTTTTTTTAGTAAGCGATGATGCGCTCGACCCATAAGCAACCTATTCACTCGGGCCTTGAAGACACCCAGTTTATACCCTAGTCTTGTGAATGAATGATAGAAAGGACTATGGAGACTCAAGTTGTGCTATTCCCCCGCACACTCACCGAGTAGCGTTAACATAGAAATATTAATTATTCTTTATTATATCTATAAGCGTTAATATCAGTCCAATTAGAGATACTCTCAATAAACGAGCGTGCATGAAGAAATGAATGAATGTATTGTATACCGTTTTTCAGACAATTGTACATCCTCATAGAATCTGGGACGTGTTCTTGAGTGAAGACCATCTCTAACGTAGAAAGATTACTTACGCGTAAACTGGAGGGCTTGTACGTGGCCTTATGGGCATCGGATGGAAGGAAGATTCCGGTATGCCAAATTCAGTCACATGTGGATTGTAGTACCTGTAAATAAAAAAAAATACTGTTAATTTATGTAGGATGTAATAAAATAAATTAGGTACTAAATTTCTCGTCTGATTCGCTAATGTTTAGACGATTTCTCTCGTGTAGGTCACGATCCTGTTGGAACATCTCACAATAGAATTTTCTTCTATATTGTGGTTGCGTTTCTAGGTATCTATACTCATTTCTGAACTATTATGGAGTTAAAATAACTTAAAATCGCGGCCTACTCACGTGCGCAGCCTACTGGCTAATAGCTTTTTTTAAGGGGGGAAAATCATCGAATGACCCCCCGCCTGGGGGAGGCGGGAGGGAGTGTCAGACTCTTACTGACTAAGAACACCCCGTTCCTTCTACTGCACGTCGAGCCGGAGCCCCGGTAACCCGTTAGGTTCTCCACGACACTGGCTAATAGGCTGCGCGACATCGCCGTGACCGCGCACGCTGCTCATGAAGAAGAATCTCTCTGTGGTTCGAAACTAGTAGAGCTTTTCTCAGTATATTCACGTGAGTAACCCGTCATGTTTAATTAATTTAGGTAGAATGTCTCACGATCGTTATTATAAAAACATATTATGGAGTTGAATATAAAAAAAAGATATTTACGCATCCATAGCACTGGAGACACTTGGTCTATCTCTAACATGTCTGTACTGCAGGCTCCGAGGGCTGTACGGTTCTGGTTGCTGCATGCTTGAAGACGGCGGGTTGACGACCACGACCCCATCGATACGCATGCGGACTCCAGACCGCCGCACTGGTGGAACTTCTTGCGGCTTGCTATGTGGAATTTAAAAAAGATGTATTAGTAGGTATCTCTAAATATTCATGGTTAGCGTGCAAGTGTGTGAGAGCCATGCTTCGGCACGAATGGGCCGGCTCGACCGGAGTGATACCACGGCCTCACAGAAAACCGACGTGAAGCAACGCTTGCGTTGTGTTTCGTCGTGTGAGTGAGGTTACCGGAGGCCCAAATACTCTCCCCTTCCCTAATCTCTGCAATTCCTGAATCCCCAACGATCCTCAAAATCCTAATCCCCAAAAAGCCAGTAACGAACTTGTAACGCCTCTGGTGTTTCAGGTGTCCATAGGCGACGCCGATTGCTTACCATCAGGTGATCCGTCTGCTCGTTTACTGTCTTACGCCATAAAAAAAAAATCAGTAAATGTGCGGAGTATGACGCGAAGTTAGCTCTCTATTAGTGCGAGTTTATCATGTTTTGTCGTGTGAGTGAGGTTACCGGAGACCAAGTTCCCAGTCCCCAGTTCTCACGATTCCTAAAAAGTCATCAACGCACTTGTAATAATAACTTCTCTGGTTTTGCGGGTGTGTCCATGGGTGGCGTCGATTGCTTACCATCAGGTGACCCGTCTGCTCGTTTACCGCCTAACCCATAAAAATAAATGTATACTTACAGAAATGGCGATGGATGCTCTCTATATGTGGTACTGGGCATGTGGTACGAAGGTTCCCAAGCTGGCTCCTGCCGCAGATCCAGTGGAGCCGTTGGGTAGCTCGGGAGAGGGAATGGAGTGTCTGGACGTTCTATGCTGGAAAATATATTTAAAAAATAAATGAAGATGGCGTAAAGAGATACAGTTATTTTACTGGTCGAGTTGGAAATGCAGCTGCGCAAGAATGTAAATTATGAGTTTATTTTATGTATATACTAGCGACCCGCCCCGGCTTCGCACAGGTGCAATATGCTAGTATTATACATAATAAACCTTCCTTAAGAATCACTCTGTCTATTAAAAAAACCGCATCAAAATCCGTTGTATAGTTTTAAAGATATATAGTTTTAAGCATACATAGGGACAGACAGACGGCGGATAGCGACTTTATTTTATACTATGTATTGATGTTATATACATATACCTACCTATGTAAATTTTTATTTTATGGAATAGGAGGCAAACGATGGAACGCCCATGGACGCCCGCAACACGAGAGGGTTCACAGGTGCGTTGCCGGCCTTTTACAAAGGAACACGCTCTTTTCTTAAAGGTGAGACATACATACTAAATTAATAAAAAAACACCGGTTTATTCACTTGAAATAATGAGAAACGCTCTACTACTTTCGAAGGGCTCTTCTTCATGACTATGAGCAGCGTAGTCAGGTCCACATCATATTAAATTTTTTTTGTTGATCATTATGAAAAAATACTGTTGTACTAATTTAAGCCTTTTTTAGATAGTTGGCTCACCCCCTATTACATGGGACTCGTAACATAAACAGTGAAAAGTGAGTGTTACATTGTATAGTGACATTAAGTGCCGTAATATGCACCTCTGCCTATTCCTTCGGGGATAAAACGCGAGATTTATGTTATGTTATGTTACTACTATATTTCTTAACTAGCGACCCGCCCCGGCTTCGCACGGGTGCAATATGTATATACATACAAACCTTCCTTAAGAATCACTCTATCTATTAAAAAAAACCGCATCAAAATCCGATGCGTAGTTTTAAAGATCTAAGCATACATACGGACATACAGCGAAAGCGACTTTGTTTTATACTATGTATTGATAATTATTACGATATTCCTATAAAATAAGATTTTTGGATTAGATAACGAACACTTCAAGTTTCAACACTACAAAGAGATTTATTTGCGACTCGTTGCTATTAAATAAATGTAAGGTAAGTGTTAGTTGCAGCACAAAAATACAGCATTACAACATAGTGAATAAATAATAAAATATTATTACAGTATTTTAAATTAAGTTTAAACGCTTTTAAACAAATTAATTCCGTTTTAAACATAATCATTACGGAAGATGATATTTTTTACTGATTGGCATATGGTTGCTAATATTTTTTGAATAGGCACTAAAGCAAAGCAACATTGACTTGTAAAATCATTTTGTTGTGTTCAAAGTCAAAGTCAAGTCAAAGTCAAAATCAAAATCATTTATTTCAATTAGACCAGAGAGGCACTTTTGAACGTCATTAAAAAAAATTAAAGTGAAGCTATTTGCTCAGTCCTATGGAGAAGAACGAGCAAGAAACTCCATAGGTTACTCTTTTTCAATCAAGTTCACAATACAATTCTCTATTGTATTGTTGCGGGATAAGCCGGTAAATGAGCAGACGGTTCACTTGATGATAAACAATTCTAGTGGCTCCTATTCATGAGCCGCGAATCCGCGATACGCGACGCGGCGACTGTCGAGCTGCTACTGGCTATTCGAGTCTGCTGCGGTTCGGGCCTAACGCGCCCTATAGCATCATTCACGCTACTTTAGTTCCTCGTCAAACAGTTACGTGAGTGAGCCGAAAACATAATAATTAATTTAGTAGGTCTCACAAAAGATTTACATTATACCTATATAGAGGTATACGGATATATGTAGGTATGTATTTACAGTTATGCATAATCATAAATTTATTCATATAGATTTTTCTGTGTCACATAAACCATTATACCTATTACACCTACTGTTGCACATCTCTGCATCACCCCATGGTTGACTGTTAGAGAATGCCACCCGGCATTAAGTCCGCCATCGTATGTTTGTTATACAGAAGTGTTAATAAATAAATAAATAAAAGATTTATTATAAACCTAAAACAAACTCGTACTAGCACTCTGTACTAAGTAAAAAACGCTCAGCGATTGAATAAGTACCTATAATAATATAAAATATACTTACACACTTTTCATACCGACTAGCCCACTTCTCAATCTCTTTGGAGATCCGGGCGATGGTAACGGTGGTGGATTACTTATACGCACTTCTGGAGGTGGTGAGGTCTTTTTCTTAACAGGCCTGCAAGTGTTGAACATAAATAGTGAGGACTGAGTGACTTAATATTTAATAGACCGTCATCATAATTTTTAAATCAACCACGAGATGTCGACTGCTCAAAATAGCCATATAAGCCAATGTCCGGATAGGCCGGTTAGAAGGGTATCCTCGGTGCGAGTTATATAGAACAGAGCTGTCCAAACTATATACCCTCGCGGGGTAATTAAATTTTTTACAAAAGCTGGAGAGCCAGTAAATATTTTCAGTTGTGTAATGACGTTTAACATTGTATTCTTTACTCACAGACAAAACTTGCATACAAATCATACACTGAATTATAATTATTATTATTGTTACATATAAGATTAAAATTTATGTCGCGTGCCACATGAAATCAAGTCGCAAAACAGGCCTGATATAGAACTTCCAGATGGAAAAGTTTTCCAACTTGGATTAACCTCATTGGTTACAATATTGCTTCTGAGTAAATTGGTCGCAGCAGGGCTGGAACCGATCCGGAACTGCGGACAACCTAACAGGTTTTTTTTAAAGGGGGGAAAATCATCGAATGATTGCTCCCGCCTGGGTGAGGCGGGAGGGAGTGTCAGACTCTTACTGACTAAAAACCACCCCATTCCTTCTCCTGCACATCGACCCGGAGCCCCGGTAACCTGTTAGGTTCTCCGCGACAACCTAACAGGTTACCAGGGCTCCTCCGGCTCAAAGTAGGAGTAGGAACGGGGTGGTTTTCAGTCAGTAATCGTCTGGCTGTCTGTCATTCTCTCTCTCTCTCGCCTCAGTCAAGGTGGAAGAATTCATTTGATGAATTTTCCCTTAAAAAAAAGGGTAAAACGTCCTGTTTTACATCCATGCATATTTGTCACCTTTAGTGTTCCATCGGAGCCCGCATCATCGCTTACCACCCAGCGAGATAAAGGCCAAACCGTCGTACCATCAAATAGAAAAACGCACAGCTTACTGTAGGCTCAGCGGCAAAATCAAATATTGAAATTGTTCAAAAGTTCCAGTCAAAAATGTTAAGAATGATAACAAACGCACCATGGTATGTCTCTATGTATAGACTCCTTCACGACTTCTGCATCAGTACTGTAATGGAAGAAATTTCAAAAGGGACTAAAGTGTACAAAGATCTAATCACAATCATTCAAACAAGCTAGCAGTAAACCTGATGGACACCCAAACAGTCGATAAAAGACTAAAGAGAAAGATTCCTCAAGACCTCATTTAGGAGGTTGTAAAAATAAACGGGGAAGTCACTGGACAGCCCGCGTACAAATCTGGTGCATTAACAAAAATATTGCTGAATATATATATAATCAGCTGTAGCAATAATCAGAGCTTCAGGTCTAAAATCTATAATTTGATATTACGGAAAATTAAAGAAAAACCGTAAAATATACTTACGGCTTCACCGAGCTTTTCTTAGCCCTTTTCCTGCCCTTACGTTTCTTCGACTTGGCTATAGGTCTCTTTTTTATTCCAATAACTTCAACTTGCATGGAATTGACAGTCTCCCCGAGACGCATCGGGTATTTATTCTTGCTGTAAATAAAGAAAAATTCACAGAAAGTTGAAGATAATCCAGGCATATCTATTCATTAATACCATAACATAACATCACGCCTTTTTATCCCCGAAGGGGTAGGCAGAGGGCACATTTCGGCACTTAATGCCACTGTATAATATAACACCCACTTTTCACTATTTATGTTATGAGTCCCATGTAATAGGGGGTGAGCCTATTGCCATAAACCGGGTATATTTCCAGACTCCGTGCTACTACTGAAATTTTTAAAAACCCAGCAGTATTATTACAACTTTATTTTGTTTACTGGAAAAAAAATAGCTTCTCTATGAGCTATGAACAAGTCATTGTGAATGAATAGTATTGCTCTTATTTCAGCCTGTGCTTTTAAAACTAATAAGTAAATATTTCTGTTAGAAGTTCAGTTCAATGCATGATATTTGTTTCCCTTCATTTGAACTTGGTAGGTACCTAATTACCTATATTGTTTAAGAACTGAAAAAGTTATTTTCTAATATTACCTAGTTAACATTAAATATAATATAGACGTAGAAACAACATATTATAATAGATCCTTCTTTCAAAATGCATAAAATCAAATGTACAGTCCGTAATAGTCCACTATCTATGAGCCTCCTCTACTTATGAGAACCTCAAAAAATAAACAGCTATAACTTAAGAATGAGGTTATATTAACGATCTTGGATTGGGACTTGATCTACTATTAAAACTATGCAAAAAACTCACGAATTTAAAAAGAAAAGAATCTATAATCAAAATCGGTACAACAAAGCCATATAACGTGGAGCTGCTGCCATCTACGCTTCGCTGTTCGTAGATTGACATAACAATTTCATTTAAACCTTTGTCAAACTCCATTTTCCATTACATACGAGGCAAATATCTTTAAATCTGTTTGCTATACCAAGGACCAACTATTTATATGCAGCTCAAATGCAATCAACAGTCACAAAGTATTAAAACTGGTCACCCATCCGAGGAATGACCTCGGCGGACGTAGCTTAACCAGCGATGTAACGTCTGGTCCGGGCGTCCGTAACAGCCACACAGACAATGATATAGCTAAAAATCGATACAAGGACATCTTAGACATTCAGTCGGCTGAAAATAGAGCTAAAGTTTGGAAGGCATAAATCTACTTCGTAATTTTAGGCACAGAATATTGCCTCCTCCGCCTCACCCTCCCACCACCCTCTGATCCGTCAGTGTCAAGCTACGCCATGACAATGGCGAGTCGTAATAAAGACATAAAAATAAGGCACAGACCGCACTCAATGTAATAAAAATGTAATTACCTTCTCATCTTGGCCCAAGGTGTAAAATGAGCACTAATTGAAGAATTAGCAATGCAAAAACACGATCAATAATCAGGAAAAACTGTTCCCGGAGCGGCGTGACGTCAACTTCGCGTTACAACACTAAATAACTACAACGTTTAGCATTTTGAGAGCATAGATCAATTTTTCACCTGTCCTGCTCGTTTGTTAGTGTATTGAAGGGGTCAACTATATAATATTTACACGAATCAATTTGATGAACTTCCAATAAGAATAGGGATGGAATGTTTCCCTGCCAGACAACCCTAAAAATAAAACAGGAAAAAGTAAAACAGGACCCTCGAAAGGATTAGCTGGACATTCATAATTGGAACTGGCGACGTCTTTGTTACTTTTTTATGCATGGTCGATAGGGGGATAGGTAGGTACTTATTATTGCTTTTCAATGAAAGCGTATCGTTCCTAAGTAACGCAACGGTTAGCAACAGATAGGCGGTAATAAGTAACCGCACCAATCGCACATGTGGCGTCCATACTTTCGAGTCTAAGTACATATAGATATACATAGGTAGGTATCCCAAAGTACCTACCTGCGCCGCGTCGATTAGGGTGCATGAAGAGACGAAATGCTAATCGATAAATTGATGCAAGAGCTTGTAGACTTGTTCGGCTGTCTAAGCTGCCCATACATTTACAAAGGTACAACCGCCTCCAAGTTTTCTGTTAATTTATTATTATTGCAGCCATTGAAGTCGAGCGTATTTGCATCAATACCTACTCTTTCTTTCTCAGATCAGAAAGCATTAAGTTAGCTCTTTTTGCTGTCTTAGGTAAAAACGTAATCCATGGAAGTCAGAATCTTTAGATATTAACTAAGGATTAGGTTCAATAAGGGTTTTAGCGATGAAGTCCTTAAGAAGTATACCTATTTATAGGTAGGTACGGTGTACTTTGACATATTCCATGTACACACGGCTACACATCGAGCTTTACATAACCAGTATAAACTGAACGTTAAATGTGCGGAAAGATGATGCGACGCGACACCAGGATACACTGGTTTTGTATAGATTGTGATGATTTGTGTGGCCGTGTGTACAGGTTGAAAAATGAAGTAGGATTCGTCGTTATCAAGCCCATATCCCAGGTAATTAAAGTAGGTTGGTATCTTTTTCATAAATATTGTTTCTTTATACTGAATCAATCTTTGTTTTCTGCATACCAAATTACTGTGCCGGCTATTCATTCTTATATAAAGATAGTGATAGAACTTAATACGAGCGGCTGAAATAAATTGTAACCAATGTAATGTTTTTAATAATAATGGTATATAAAAAAAGATAAAGCAAGTAAATATCTTGATTTAGCTTATGAGATTGCCGACGTGTGGTGTTGATTCAGTAATCATTGTGCCGGTAGTCGTATCTGCCAATGACCTCATTGCTCGGCTAGCGTTAAATGGTGTCTGATGCAGAGAGCTGTACTTCTGGACACGGCGCGTATTATCCGGATATTCCTCTCTCTGGAGCCCTGATCACCGGTAGCTTTGATTTTTCCCGTTACTAGTGGGCTACTGCTTTTTATATTTTAAATTAAAAATATGTAAATCAAGGAAAAAAATATTTTTAAGGGGGGAAAATCATCGAATGACTGCTCCAAAGTGTTAGACTCTTACTGACTAAAAACCACCCCTTTCCTTCTACTGCACATCGAGCCGGAGCCCCGGTAACCCGTTAGGTTCTTCGCGACAAAATACAGTATATGAATGGTTATGTTGGATTTCAAAACTTAAGTCATAAATTTTATTTAAAAACTTGTATCAATTTTGATTTTGTATTAAGATCAGCAATTAATTTCAGTCTGACGATGGTTTCATAATGTTAAATAACACGAAGGACGTAAGTTCAAAGAGAATACTAAATAAGGTGTAAGCAAGAAGCTAGTCTGCATTTTGCTATGATATAATAACCAGGCGCTTTCTATGACTACTTACGCAAAGTGAAAATCTTTAAAGCAACAACTGTTTTTAATTTAGTTTATTTAATTATTTTAACACGTCATTTAACTGATAAAATTTATATTAGTATAAAACGTATTGAGCACAATTTTTACACATCAGTTTCTACTTTTTTCGAATAAATAAAGCTTTCTTTGTGGCTCTGATGCAGAATATACTTCAGACTTGACAGCAATAGCTAGTTTACACAATTTTACACAATCTAGAATTGCACTTTTATGCCAATGCTAAATTTTTCCTGGTGCTAATTTTATTTTTTATTTTATTCCTTAAGTACAGATGCAGACGACAGATTGCTATCGTACACAACAATCTTAAATACATATAAATTAATATGCATTGGTACCATGGACGAGTGACTGTGAGGCACAGGTACTTTGTGTTGTTTGTGTAGAAAACCGTTGACTAAAGGTCCAGTGTCAACAAAACGGCATCGGCAGTGACCAGTGAACGTCTGACGCTAGCATTTTGCTGGAGAAACATAAACCTTAAGGTATGACAAAAATGTTCCATTTTGCAGACCAATCATGCTGCATTATCATTGCTAACGACTGCTGCTATTTAGTATGTACTTCGCATTGATGCGGACTCGCGATAGCATCGCCGCAGCCAGTCACCGGGGGCGAGGAGCTTAAATTTTATAATTTCGCAAATAATAAAAACTTCAATTGACATTTCCTATAAGGAATGAAACAAGTTTAATTATTAAATATTCGTTTTATTTCTTTGAATGAGAATATTTGGCAAATAAACTATTCGCTTAAGAATTAACAAAAATCACAATAGTACCCACGTTGTACTACAACCAATGATTTAATTATTGAATAAAAAAATCAGAAAAAAAAAAACAAAAAAACAGCGAACATTTTTGAGACACCGGCACATTTAGAGCAGGGACTACTAAGTAAATTGAATATCACTAATCAGCGCAAATCAAAGTAAAACGCTTTTATATATACGACAATAATATTTTTTACTTAACAGTTAACCGTTTACTTTTAACTTTGTATATTGCAGCATAATGACAACTAATTCTTACTTTCCAAAAACAATAATTCCGTTTGAGGACCACAAAAAAATTTGAACATCGATTCAAGCCGCGAACTTGAAAAAAATAAAATGTATGGTACCTACTACCAATAATTTCTATGTAATAGACAAACTATATACCTACCATTACATGAAATCTACAAATTTAAAAACATCTAAAAATATTACAGTACACTTATGTCAACACAAGTTTTTAAAAAGTGTCTATTTCTACCTTTACGAGGTGGACTCATACAAGGTTCAAATTCGAGGCTTTTTCGCGAGCTAAAGGAACAAAACAACCCAAGTAATTATAAATGCTCAAAACTATAAACTATACATACCTACTTATACTTACATGTAAATCTTAAAAGAATGTATCGTAAATCACAGATTTCCATATTCATTAATTAATACAAAATTAGTAGAAGATTAATGTGCAAATTTCAATTTACAGTCAACCAAGTCATTTAGTACACAGGTAAGAAAAATATTATTGATCAGTATGGACATTGTAACCACTAATTGACTGCTGAGCAGACTAATAATCACTCATGATATGGCTTAAAAATCATACAATTTAGCAATATATGCTTTCTATCTTTGTCTTTATCATCTTCAATAATATTATCAATCTTTATATTCCTACCCGTACATCAAATAATTTGGCTAACCGGACATTATTTATATTCTAAGGAAATGTGCGAATTCCTAAATTGCTATAGGGTAAGTAGAGCCCTTAAATAAGTGGCATACAATGAATTTTGAAATAAGTTGACAGTGCTATGCCGTCTTATCAAAAACCGAAATATACCTCTAGGTATAGTAACTGCATATGAGATATTTACAAATGTCAGACTAGTTAGGATAATCCTATTTATTAGACTGATATAGAAAGCATTGAAAACACACAGACAATATATGACACAATTGGCAATATTTTTTGGCTATTTTACCCTCAAGCAAACAGTACATGGCCATACACACCTTGTTTAGTGCAAGTTATTAGCAATTATCGCAGTTATTAGCATTATGTTAGAGTTTAATTTTACGTGCATATCTAATGACTCACACTAATTAAAATGTATATCAGTCTTGAGTATAAAGTACGAGCATAATGTTATCGCTTGGCGAAGTTAGCAACTAACACAAATCTGGGGTCACGACTATAGTAGCCTACAATACAAATCTAACAATAAATTGATCGTTCAACACTTTGTTGGCGCTAAACACTTAACTATCACTTTGCGGGGGTAATTTAAAAATTCCATGTTTGACAACGTCAACTACAACAACTTGTGGATAAAGTCTCATTATTTCAGAAAGCTTCTTCGCTGTGAACGTCATTGTCCTGTTACATAAACTTATAGACGTAGTACAGTGATCATAGTCGAACACTGTTTTCGTATTTTTCAGATAATGAGAAACCTCCTCGATATTATGAGGCAGCTTCGTGGTAGATTTCATAGCCACTCGCCTGGTGGGTGGCTTACTGGTGGACTTCCGAGCACTTGTTTTCGGCAAAGGTTCCGTTGGTTTTGAAATATATTTGACTGGCTTCGACGTATCTATTGTTATCGATGCAGCTTCGATTGGTTTCGGCAAGGAGCTCATTGGTACCGTCTGAGGGTTCATTGGTATCGGTATAATGTGTCTAGTTATCGACGTCGGCTCCGGCATTGGTTTAGGCAAAATTTTTAGTGTTTTCGGTGTAGTGTCAATTACTTTGTTTTTATGAATAAGTGGAGCAATGAGATCTTCCTCTATTTTCTTCATTTCTTCAGAGTTATGTATGTACGGCACGATGGAGTATTTTAACGGAAGCGCCGGATGGGCCGCGTTGTGGTGGGTCTTTAAGTCCCTTATGTATTTAAATCCTATATTCTCACAATGTCCGCAAAAATGTGTTTCTCTGGTCTCGTGCTGCAATTTAAACAGCGCGTAGTTAATGGGTAAGTTGGGATGAGCTTGCTGGTGATGGTCCTGCAAGGACTTCACGTCCACACGCAGCACTAAGCATATGCAACACTTAAACACCACATCACCCTTTTTGGCAAAGTCTGGCTTGACATTATCGTGTA